GGAAAATAAGAAGAACCACCCCCATAATCCCACCATTCTAAAACAACTATTTTTAGCACTGCACTGCCTTTAATCCTAGTCTGTTCTTCCATTTCCACCCCCCATCCCCCAAACCCCCAATATTGGTTATCACAATGACTGAGCAAATCTCTCCGATATTTACTGAATGACTTTCCAGTTACATTCTTTTAGAGTGACAATAGGAACTTGACTCCATAAAGGTCCTAAGAATCCTATGAGGATAAGGGCAAGGAAAGAAATGTTGCCTGTCTTAAAAACCCACTGTATTAGTCTGTTCTTGTTGCTAATAACAAAGTACACTGAACTGGGTGATTTATAAAGAAAATGAAATTTACTGCTTACAGTTTCTTTTTTTTTTTTTTGTCCTTTTTTGAGACCGGCCGCACCACGCTCAGCCAGTGAGCGCTGTGAGCGAACTGGTCATCCCTATATAGGATCCGAACCCGCGGCGGGAGCGCTGCTGCACTCCCAGCGCCACACTCTCCTGAGTGCGCCATGGGCTCGGCCCTACTGCTTACAGTTTCTGAGGCTGGGAAGTCCAAAGTCCATCAGGTGGTGACAAGAGCGACCCAGGGGTCTCACATTGCAAGATGGTGGAAGCAGAGAAAGCAGAGAGAAAGACAGACTCTCCTCTCCTTTTAAAGCCCTCAGAAGCACACCCCTGACCACCATTTTTAATCCATTCACTACTGCATGGTCCTGTAATCCAATCACCTCTTCAAGGCTCCACCTTTCCATTTCCCACCCTCTTAACAGGCACAGTGGGGGCCAAATTTCTAATACATAAAACTTGGGGGACACAATTCAAGCCTCAATAGTTTTGGGAGGACATAATTCAATCCACTACACCCACTTTGTTTTACATCCTTTAATAATCTCTTTTGTATACAGGGTCAAGTCCAAGCTCCTTATATTTTAGCCTATGAGACCCTCCAGAATTGAGTTTCTGCCTCCCCAGCCTCACTTCTAGTCACATCTGCCTGGCCTTGAACCCAACACTCCTGTCACCCTGTCCTACTTCTTTGAAGGATGTGCTGATCTGTGCCCCTGTGACTTTGGCAATGCTCCTCCCTCTGTTTGTAGTAGCCACCTCCACCTTGCCCATCTGGTGAATCCCTAATTATTGTCAAAATCTGCTCAGCCACCTCTAAAGCTTTTCCTATCCTCCCAAGTAGAAATGACCTTTCTTCCTTTAGTGTCTCAAATGTATCCCAGACACACTTCCTTTAACATCTGTAATCCCTTTTTGCACCTACTTACAAGTCCAAGACATATTCATCTCTATCTCCAGATATGTCTGATGTTAGAATGTCTGATGAATGAAAAAAATACATGAACAGGAAAAAAAAAAAGACCTTTTCTGGATCAGTCAGAGGGGCAGGGGAATCCCTAATTAAGTGGATTCCTGACATTCTATGCCAGGTATGTTGTACTTCAGTGTTTTCCTAGGCAAGCAGGAATTTCTTCTTTCCTGAAGATGTTTAAGAATATGAGGAGAACTGTGAATGTGAGAGGTTGAACACAATTCTGTCAGGCTGAAGAACTATGGATTAAGATGCATGGTTTCCAGGTAATAATGATGAGGATTATAATAATAACAGTAATAGTAGCTAATGTTTATTGATTACTTACTCTATGTCATGCAAAGCACATTCTTCACATAGGGCTTTACATGTATAAATTGGAAACCACTTTTTAAGAAACAGATTTTATTATTATCTCCATTTATATTTAAGAAAAAGTGTCTCAAAGAAGTTAAATAACTTTCCTAAGGTCACAAAGTTGGTAAATAGCAGATCTGGTATTCAAACCCAAGGATGTGACCTCAGAGTCTGTGCCCTGTACTTCCTACTCCGAGCTTTGCGAGCTCAGAGTAATGGACTTAGATAAATACATGTTTACAAACATATACATAATATAGACATCTCATTTGAATTCTGAAAATGAATTCACATCTGATTGACACATGGGTTTTAAATAAGACTTGTATCTTGATAACAATTGTTACTATTCTAAAAACTGAGGAAATCTTCATTGCAATCAGTTAACAGCAAACCCATTTAATGAGGGCCTGCTATGTGCTTAGCTAGGTGACAAAGAATCTAAGACATGGTCCATTCTTTCAAGGAACTTACAAGGTAAAACTATAATGTCATGATATTATTTTGAAAAATATTGAAATCTACACAACACATCCAAATAAGTGATCACCTTATTTGGTGATACACTTATCTATTGTTCAAACTGCTTTTAGAAGCAATTTATAAAACATATAAGAATAGATTTCACTACTTCAAGCTCAAAGTTTATTCTTATCCCAAACAGTGCTAAACATCTTAACCACTATTTTATTTAACATTTGGTTAGTTCTAAAAATCTACTCATACCTGAAAGGAGGAAATTTGCTGCCATTGCTTGTGTGGATGTATTATATGAATACATACATTCGTATAGAGATAGATACATACACACATACAAATATGTCCTGTGGTTTGTAAGGGCAATTCCCAAAGGACTGGACAAAATCAGTGCTGTATGATAAGAATATATGAGCCACATATGTAATTTAAAGTTTTCTAGTAGCCACATTTTTTTTCATCACCAATAATGTTACTTTAATGTACCTTTTTGGTTTTTGTGATGTCATTAAAAACTTTCACATCTCTCCATTTGACAAAGTTAAATTCACGTATCTGAATGACAGTTTTGTTTTTTTCCTTCTTATCTTTTTCCATTCTAGTAGCCACATTTTAAAAAGTAAAAGAAACAGGTGAAATTAATTTTGATAATACATTAAAAAATTTAATGCATTATGTCAAAAATACCATTCCAGCATGCAATCAATATAAAAATTATTGAGAAATTTTACACTTACTTTTTTCATACAAAGTCTTCGAAATCCAGTGTGTATTTTATACAACATCTCAATTTGAATATCTCAAGCACTCAAGAGCCACATGTGGCTAGTAGTTGCCATATTGGACAGAGTGAGACAAAATATTTAAAGCTATGCTTGTCATACTGGAATGAGAGTAAAAAATGCCCCATTTGCTCAAGTCTTTCCGATAAGTAATGACTTTAAGAGGAGTACTATGTGGATGCCAGTGAAGTACTGTTGAGTAATAAAGGCAGCCTGTGATCACATTAAATTGGAGTATAAACTCTAAATGCTGTTAAGAGTTTGGAGGAAAGGATGATTTAAAAAAGCCAAAGTCATCTTTATGGAGCCTGGCTAATCAGCAAAAGATGAGAAGCTGAGAAAGCGAAAAGGTATTTTACAACATTCAAGGGTTAACCCTTTTAGACAAGGAATAATAGTACTAAATAAGCCAAGAAAAACTCAGTTCAAATAAACTAATGATCATAGTCAACCGCAACCTATCAGGATCCCAATGAATAAGCTGAGAAAGCGAAAAGGTATTTTACAACATTCAAGGGTTAACCCTTTTAGACAAGGAATAGTAGTACTAAATAAGCCAAGAAAAACTCAGTTCAAATAAACTAATGATCATAGTCAACCGCAACCTATCAGGATCCCAATGAATAGATTTGTAAGCAGTAAGCAACTCTTTTATGGCCAAGGCCCTATAGATACATAGCAGAGAAATATTATAAAGCCATATGGAATTTAGAACCGAAATACAGAAATGGTAGAAATGCAAAACAACTTACTTGGTAATATCTGATTCACAATCTCTTTATAATCTCTGGACCCAGTTAACTCAAGTGTAAACTAAAGTGAATGCAACTCTAAGGACCCTTATAGCTAGGGTGACCCATAATTTACTGTGCAAACTTGGACACTCTCAAAAGTAAAAAGGGGCACTACTAATTATCCGGGACAAGAGGCATAAGCTGGGACAGTTTTATACCTATAAAACTATATGATCCTATATTAGTAAACAGATACAACAGCTACCCCTATCCAAAGACACTGAACTGATGAAAGCTTAGCATGTTCTTATTACCTTTGCTTGGCCGCAGGGACTTTGTGGGCTAATATACATCGATCTGGGTAAGGCGGTTTCACACTGTCCCCCCGCAACCTCCCCTCTCCCCGGAAAAGCATTTTAAATTGATTTGAATTTGGGAACAGGGTTCCATATGGACAGAGCTGGACTTTGACAGCCTGAATGCATTTACTGAAGACAACAAATCATTGACAGACTAAATGTAACAGAGGAAAAGCCTGGCCTGCTTGTACTCAGAATCTGACTTTGTAATTGTAGCCTCCTCTAGACAGGCCTAATCAATTAGAAGAGGCTGATTTTAACCAGTTGCAGGCTCATTACCCTGCATTCCAGTTTGTGTTGATGAAAATCAGTTTCAGTCTGTGGCCTGGAACTCATGTACAGCACTTCCTGTGGCCTCTTATATAAATACATTGAAAAAATTTATTTGGAGTTGCTCTTCTCCCTTTAAAAAAAAACACTTTGTGAATCATGATTAAAGTAGAAGAATCATATGTGGATCTGGGGCCCATACCCAGAACCATACACGATCAAGAAACATGTATAAAGTCAGAGCTTGAGGCAACAACTCATAATGCACTGGTTTGAGGGTGGATTTGAGAATAGAGTCTCAAATGTCCAGGCTTCAGCATCAAATGAGCCCAGTTCAGTTATCTTCACTGAATGGAAAAGAATGAACTCTGTTATTGAAAATGACAGCCTTTCAAAGAAAATGCACAAAATAGGAAAAATCCAAGGTCTTCGAAACATAGAGGGTATCTGAGTAGAGTTCACACTTTTCCCTGAATGACCAAATAGAAAATAAACGGCAAACTTCCAAGTAAACACGAATAGGTTTCCTTGAGAAGCTTCTATAAAGAAACCATATGACATTCTGTTTAATTTTGATGTGTGGTTAGCCTTACAAAAGTAGGAGGTCGGGGAGTGCGTGGCAGAACTGCTCAAAACCCCACCTACATTTCAAAGGCCTGTAACCATTCCAAAATATGATATAACTATGAATCATACCTGGCTGGTTGCCCTCTCTGGGTTTGTCAAAGCAGCAAGTCAACAGGAAGAGAATATCAATATATACAGCTCTGGTCACCAAACAGGGATTTTGCCTAGAAAGGTAAAGAAAAAGAAAATATAGTAAATTAATATTTTCTCTCCCTGATGCCTGGGGTCACCAGAAGGAGAAAATGCGTGTTTTCTATCAGGCACGTCCTGAGGTTTAGGCAATTACGGTGAATGCTGAAGAAAAGATGATTGATCACTGATGGCAAGAAAATCAGCAACTCAAGTGAGAAAACGAAATGTTAGAGCATGCAGTGGAGGCCTGGGCTATGTGTGGACAAAACATAAAACTCTATGCTCTGGCTCCAAATAAAATAAACTGAAAACAAACAAAAACCAAGATCCTTCCTTTCAAGTTAGCTGAAATCGAGGTGGGGGGTAGGTGGGAGGGATGATACTCTATTATTCTCCTCTTAAAGTGGAGAAATTTGGGAGAAATAGATCATTGGTCATGAAAATCACTGATTTAGCATTTTGGAGGAGAACTACACTCACATAAGAAAAACCATATCTATGGACTTAAAGTAACCAGGTGAAGGACAACATGTACAATATTAATGAACACTGGAGCTGACATCCTTTTCCCAATAAATGGAATTTTTTCTTCTTTCAATAAATGGAGCAGCTTATTTTACTTTTTGCACCACATGGTGGAACCAGTAAGTAGGCTCAGATTTGGGGGTCTAGACACAATAGGACATGGACTTTCTTTTAGAACAGCACTGAAGGGCCCTGGCTCTGAGTCTTAGTTCATGCTGACCGTGAAAAGTGCCAGAACCTCTCTGGTGTCCAATAACCCAGCACGAGTAGTAAAAACAGTAAAGACAGACGTGGGCCTGAGTACTGGCTTTGCCACTTTTTATCTCTGTGACCTGAATCATATTCCTAACTGGTAAAGTGGGAACTATATTATTACCTCATGGTGAGTCACTGTGAGCGTTCAGCATGGCACATAAACTTTAAATGCCCACCTTAGTGCCTGGCCATGGCAGATGTTCCAGAAGTGTTCATTCCCTGACCTTCTCCTCTACTTCCAACATAGATTAGGGGATGGCATTGAAATGGGTACAAGTGTTCTGGCTAGTGAATTTCTATTTGGCCGGACCTCTAAACCAGCCAAAAACCCATCCTTCTCATTCCCTGAAATTAACCATTTTACCACTTCCCTAAAGTTTATTCCCACCTCTATCCTGAACTGCCCATATCCTGGTGCTGACATATGCTCTAACATAAAAAGTATATCAGATACTTTTGATTTGAAGCATAAGCTGTCCTGTATCAAGTTCTCCCTGTTTTTGACCTTCCCCATCTCAGCCCCACTGTGACTTGCTTCACTTACAGTATGCCCAACCTAATGAAACCACTAGTTTATACATTACCTCAGGTCTGGCCTAATTTCATACCCATGCTTAGCTATTTTTCAAAGTTAGTTTTAAAAAATAGGTAACACGGGCTGGCCCGGTGGCGCACTGGAGAGTGCGCCGCTTGGGAGTGCGGCAGCGCTCCCACCGAGGGTTCGGATCCCATGTGGAGACCGGTTCCCGCTCACTGGTTGAGCGAGGTGCGGGCGCAACACCGAGGGTTGCAATCCCGTTACCGGTCAGTAAAAAAGACAAAAAAGGAAAAAAAAAATAGGTAACACATGGACATGGTATAAAAACAATTCAAACAATACAAAAGGGCATGCAGTGAAAATGAAGTCTCTTTTCCACAATTCTACCCAGTGCCCACATTCCGTTTCCCTGAGACAACCACTATTACCATTTTCTAGTATATCCTTCCAGGCACATTCTATTCATTTATAAGCATCTGTCTATAGCTACCCACTTGTTTATTTTTACATAATTGTGGTTTACTATAATACTAAGTTCTGAGCATTTCTTTTTTTCACTAATACATTTTAGATACCATTGTATTTAGGACATAGAGATTTGCCTCATTTTCTTAGTAGCTGTACACTGCTCCATTTCATGGATGTATCTGTCCTCTACTGACAGAATTAAGATTAAGATACCTTGCTACTGAAAACAATTCTGTAATAAATATATCTATGCATCAGTTATGTGCTTATGGATGTGTATTCAGAGGCAAAATTCCTAGAAGCTGAATTGCTGGATCAAGGTATCTGTACATTTAAATTTTTCATTGATTTTGACAAGATGCTCTCCAAAGAAGCTTTACCAATTTACATTTTCACCAACAGTGTCTAAGAATTCCAGTTTCCTCACAACCTGGCCAACACCATACATTATAAAACTTTTTGGCTTTTGCCAAGATAAGTGGAAAACAGTATCTCACTGTTTTAAATTGCAATCTTATCAAGAGGGAGGTTGACTATCCCTTCATATGCTTTTCAAAAAAGATATCTGAACTTCCTTTTCTGCAACCTGTGCTCAAATTCCCTGTTGGTCTTTTCCATACTGATTTGTAGGGGCTCTTTGTATATTAAGTAAATCTGCCCTTTATCACATATGTTGCAAATATGCTTTTACAGTTTGTCATTTGTCTTTTAACTTTCTTTTTATTTTTATTTTTTGCAATTCACAAATGTTTAGCTTTATGCAGTCAAGTATATTAACATTTTGTATCTTCTAGGTTTTATGTCATGCTTATGAAATCCAACTCTTCTCTATTCTCCCAAGTTTTCTTTCAGTACTTTACAGTTCTATTTTCTTAATGTTTAAAACTTTTATCTGGGGCCGGCCCTGTGGCTCACTTGGGAGAGTGCGGTGCTGGAGTGCCGAGGCCGTGGTTTCGGATCCTATATAAGGATGGCCAGTGTGATCACTGGCTGAGCGTGGTGCAGACCACACTGTGCTGAGGGTTGTGATCCCCTTACCGGTCAGGGGGAAAAAAAAAAAAAACAACTTTTATCTGTTTGGAATTTATTTTGCTTTTTTATTTCCCCATCCTGCCTCTACCTTTTGTCTCTGTCTAGTTTTCCCTAGATCTCTCAATCCACTATGGAAAACCCACAGTCTATGAAAACTTCTTTCTTGATATCATTCCCAATCCTGATACTTCAATTGTTTAACAGCTGGGACCACCCTCTGCCAAAGAAAGGGCCATTCAGGGAAGAAAGCCAGAAAACCCAACACAGGGGGCTAGCTCTGAAACAGATAAATCAATGAACCATCGGATATCCAGCACAGGGCTGAGCAAATGGCCCGCGATAGATGTATTGCCTCCTGTGCATCCAGCTTTGAGTAAGGTGCCTGGAGAAGATGCACATGAGACGGTTTCTGACCTGTGAGAATTTTGTCTAGTTATGGAGACGAAAACAAAGTCAAACTTTGGACAGAATGCAAGAAGTTAGGAGAAAAAAACATATCAGGGTAGACTGGAGAAATGGAGAGAGTTTATGAAAATGTAATTCCAACCAGGCAATGTAAGATGGGAAGAATTTAAATAAAGTTGACAAGGAAGGGCCTTTTGAGAGGGGGCAATAGGTGTGAGAAGGAATTCATATGGCTTGTCCAGGGACTTGGGGAAACCAGCTTTGGAAGTTTAGAATGTGTTGAGAAGTAGGAACAAAAGCAAGGTAGGCCAGGCTTTCAAGAGTTGGGATACTTCATGCTAACTGGGTGTTCCTTGGTATAACACTTTACTACCAGCTCTCCCGTGGCCTCAGAGTCATAGCTTCTTGCCCCAGATGTTTCACTCTTTTTCTGTGGTTTCATACAGAACCATAAAGGGAAGTTTTGGGGAAACTGGTTTGCCTTTCAAGTCTGATGAAAAGCATGGTTTTCATGAGATTTTTTCTAAGTTAATACATTTTTTAAAATTTCTAAATGAATAGGGGAGAGATTAGCAATCTTTAGAGCCCCTGCCAGGCTAAAGTATTCTGCATCTTCCCTAGACCTGATACAGGGTGATGACCTTGCTGGCCTCCTGGGACATTTTAGGGCCCACTCTGCCCCCATAATCATGAAGCTCCGGGCCAAGTCTAATATAATCAACAAGATCATGGGAGGCTCCCTCAAGTGCTGCTGGCTTTAGATTCCAGGAAACAGAGGAGTTAGGGCCACAGAGGATTCCAGCCATGGCTTTTCCTTCGAGATGACTCAGAGAGAAATTCTGGCCTGGAGCCACTATTCATGGCTCCACCCTCAAGGAGAGCCACAGCCACAGCCACATAATATCCCTGTCTGGAGTCACAGTTGGGCTTCATGCTGAACTGGCTTCTAAGTCAGGAAAATAATGTTTTTTTTTCTCTTTCTTTTTCTCTTGCTATTACTTGGTGTTTGTTCTGACTTGCAAATGGTACTCGATGAGTTCAGGGTGAGCCAGAGGTTTGTTCTTGGTCTGTCAAGCCACTTTGATGATGGGAATAAAATCCTGAGGAACAGCAAGCCACCTGGACAGGAAACTCAGCCACAGGGTTTTGGTGGGCTTGGGGATTTTTTCTACCCCCAAGTGGAAAAATCCTGGCACGGGGAATGGTATAATGAAGATTTATAGTGTTTGAAAAAATCAGACGCAGTCTGGGTCTAACAGATGGGCTGAAAAATAGCATAATAGTGGCTTCAGAAGGAGTAGGAGGAGTCAGGTACTATGAGGACTAAGTTTACACATATAAAATGAAACGAAGGCATTGTTAAGAATCTCACTTCCTTCCACTCTTTTTTATCATTCGTCCCTTGACGAATATGCACCGAAGAACCTGATTAGTACATTTCTGCCATGGGAAACCTCTGAACTTCATTAAACCTCTTGCCCTCTATCCTGGAAGTTGGGGGGAAGGAGAAAGCAGGGCAGAGAGAGCAGGGCTTCCCAGACAAGTCCACAATGGCCTTAGTGTCTAGAGGACAGTAGGAGCTCTTGGAAAGTCTGTGAGAAATTAATTCACTTCTTCTGTCCCTTCTGGAATCCCAGTGTCTGCAGATCTTTTTAACTGAGGCCTATTCATTCAGAAAAGTTATTAAGAGGCTACTGAGAAAACCACCAATAGGGCCAGGGTTTGCATATATGAAGATGAAATGATTCAGTGACATAGTCACTACCCTCAAGGAACTTAGAGTCTTGGACAGTGTTTTTCAAACTGCAG